AAAACCACCCTCGAGAATGAATGCAATAAGAAACTCGAGGACCAGAAACAGTCCTCCAAGCAGCAGTGTGATCAGGACAAGGCCGCAGAGAAGACCAAATGCGAGCAAGACAAAGCGGCCGACAAAGCACAGTGTGACCAAGACAAAGGCGCCCTGAAGACCGAATGCGAGAAGAAACTGGACGACCAGAGGAAAGAGTCCCAGGATCAACTTCAGCAGTGCCGCCGCGAGGGCCAGAGCCATCTTGGGAATGGGGCATGGCCCAAGAACGATGCGATGACCAACAAGAGACTGGCAGCCACCGCGCTCGCATACTCGCCCAGCAATCCCAACCAAGTGGTGACCGTCGACTTCGCCCGGAATATCGACATCCACGATGTGACGACCGCGCAGACCACACGGCTGGCAACCATGCAATCGAGCGACGGGGTCGCGACGAGCATTGCCTGGCACCCCGACGGCCAGTCGGTTATGGTGGCATGCTACTATGGGGTCGTCAAGCTTTACACCGTCGGCCCCCCCGGCACCACCTCGACTATCTACACGCTGCTGGACGAGAAGAAAGAGACCAAGGGCACCAAGGTCGCTTTCTCGCCCGATGGGAAGACCGCTGTCGCTGGCTTGGAAGACGGCCGCGTCCTGCTGTGGGATGTGACCTCGCGTACTCGACTGCCCATCTCGGCACAAGACAAGCACTCAGCGGCGGTCAATGGGCTGACCTTCTCCTCCAAAGACGGGACTTTGGTCACCGCGTCCTCCGACAAGACCATCAAGTTCTGGACCGGAGGCAAAGTCGTCCAGACACACCCTCTTAACGTCGAGGTGCGGAGCGTGGCGTTCTCGCCTAGCGGGGTCCACCTTGCCTGCGGTCTACAGGACTCCAGCATCAAGATCCTGGACGCTGCATCCCAAACCCAGCGCCGCGACCTCCGCGCTCATGCCTCGGCGGTGGTCGACGTGGCGTTTTCCGCCGATGGGAACGCACTGCTGTCTGCTTCCGAGGACCGAACCGTTCGCGTCTGGTCCTTGATTGGAGACTATGCACAGACCACAGATACCGACAAGAAGGCCCAGGCCATTGCCGTGTCACCCGGAGGCAATTCCCTCGCCGTGCTCTTCGACATGCGGCCGGTCGTTTTCTACGCGAAGCCCTAAACTCCGCCGTAACAAAGGGGAGATCGGAGAACTATACACTAGGAGTTCGCGCTCGGGTTAGCCAGCAGGACTCCCGGATAATCTTATGATATGCCAGTCGTTAGTGCTCAAGGATTGAAGATGTTGTCGTTCCATTCAAAATGAAATTCATCATCACTGTCGAAGCGGTTGTTGAAGCGCTCCGGAGGCTGTACGTGCATAACCCTCCCACGGCAAGCTACTCGCGCCGACTTACTGTAACCCAAACGATCGCGAGTATCTTGATGCTTATAACTGATGTTATCCCCCCGAACGGACTGCTTTCAACTCAGAATGGCCCTACTGTAAAATACTAATATCTAGCGTTCCTGGAAAAACACCCTAATGTAGTCATACCGGTGGCCTGAGATATCCATATGTAAACTTAGACCCTTAGACCCTGATAATCCTGATCACGCTGATCATGCGAAAAAACTTGTACTCACGTTGTCTTCCCCGAGGCTAAGTATTTGAAGGGGTTCGCATGGGTAGGTCCTATCGATGGGCGGAGGTGGTTGGTAAGGCATAAATTATCGGGAGAATTAGGGTTACCCAAGTTGCCAGCCCACCACCGTAAATGGTATCCCGAACTCCAGGAATACCAGACCTTCCCCAGCCCCTGCAAGCAGACACCCTGTTCGTTGTGTGATGAGTACTGTATTTTGTAGCATACAAGACAATCGCGATGACAACATTGATTATGTAATGGAAGTTATCCTAGAACCGACTAGAAAGACCATACACAGCTCGGGCTACAATTGCAGGCGGGGCCCGGCATATGGCCTCGCCTCTGGCCTACAGGCTACAGCGAGGCGTGCCTATCAGGCTCTCCTCATTTGAGGTCGACAAGACCGGAGAACCAGTTGATCAGCTGGGAAAAGAGACAGCAATTAGCATCTGGCTCAATCACGTTAGGCGCACATCGCCGTCGGCAAGTAGGGCTTACATTCGCTTTGAGTCTGTCGGGATTGCCTTTGTTCGCGTCGTAATCTTGGTCGAAACGGTCTAGATGCCTGCAATCAGCGAGTGAATTGCCCTTCCATCCAGGCTTGCACTTACCTGACGAAACGTAGAGGGTGTTATTCGGCAGAGGGTTGTTGACCAGCCCATTCCGGAATGCCTCCGCCGCCGCATCACTGCCAATCTGGCTGAAGGTAAACTTGACCGCTGCAATAGGGGGCACAAATCAGCACAAGCCAATCTCGGGTGGATGGGATAGAGTCAGGGCCACGAACCCGGAGGCGAGTATTTGTTCGCTTGCAGAAAATTTGCGGCGCTGGCAACCTCGTTGCGGAAGGTGTCGTTGGTATCGCCGGAGTTGGGGGCTCCGTCTCCAATGGTTAGGATCAAATATGGGGCATTGAGGTCTTTCTTGCCGTTGATCACGTCGTAGACCAAAGGGTTCAGAATCTTGGTCCGGAGATTGGTCCCCAGAGGCGTGCCTCCACTCGGATTCAGCTGGTTCATCTGCTCCTTGACCTGAGTCGAGGTCAGATTGTCCGCATTGCTGACAGTCTTGTTAATGAAGCGGATACTCGTGGTTCCACGCCCAGCTTGGGCCTCAGGATTCACCCAGTCGAGGATATCCATCAGCTCCGAGACAAGAACTCTGGCCGCCTCGATCCGCTTTGTGCCAGTCGCGTTTTCCCCTCCTAGCGCCCAGTTCATCGATCCACTATCGTCGATGTATAGGACGGGTGTGTACAGCTGCGCCACGGCCAAGGTCAGCAGGTTCTGTATGGTCGGAGCTGTGGTCTGCACTCCTAAGCCACTGGTTTGTACAAAGAGACTCTTGGTCTGGATAGATAGCCCCGTCGGCGGGATTGAGAGCGCTTTCGCCTCGGGCTTCTTTCGAAACGCCACCGTGGCCTCCGCAATGGCTTGGATGCGAGGGTCATTGGACGGGTAGAAGTCCTCCAAGCCTTGGCGGTCAATGTAATCCAACAGAAAGTTCTTGAAGTCTTCCACCGTGTGCAGATCATGAGTTCCCTGAACATATCAGACCCATTATTAGCCCTACAGGGTGTCCCTCTGCACCCGTAAAAGGAACGGCCAGCCTGCTTACATCATTAAGTTCGGTATCCTTGTTCAGATACTGAGCAATCCGGTCCACCGCATCTTTGGCTACATCCTTCCAGTCGCCGAAGTAAGCGGCGGCAAACACGCCCGCACTGGTGAGGAGATTGCCCAGCTCGGGCCTGTACGTCCTGGTCGGGTCTCCCTGGGGCACGAGCGCTCGCTGGATGGCGGGGTCCATCGAGTCGCGCGCCAGGGTTTTGGCGGACTCCCCGCGCGCATTGGTCTGGGTCAGGGAGGCCCCGGCCTCCACCAGCGCGTGGATCAGCTTGGGATCCTTGGCCTGCGAGATGGCCACCATGAGCGGCGTGTCGTCGCCGAAGTTCGGCACCGACTCATCGACCAGAGCACCCGCATCGATCAGCAGCTGGACCAGCCGCACCCGTTTCTGCTTCGGCGCCGCGGCCACCAGATACAAGGGCGACCGGCCGTCAATATTGCGTTTGGCCGGATTGGCGCCGAACTTGAGCAGCAGGCTGACGGCGCTGGTGTGCCCGCCTTTGATGGCCAAGGCCAGGGCCGTCTCCCCGTTGCCCGTGGTATTGTTGATGTTGGTCCCCTTGGCCAAGTACTCCTCAATCTTCTGCCGGGTGAGGGACCCATTGGATGCATCGTTGTACAGACTCATCTTGGCCGGGTAAGCGAATGGTACAGGCAAAAAGGAGAAATGAACTTCGCGTGCACAATTATGCTTGGAGCGGACTGTGGTTGACCCTCCTGGGGTACGGATTACAGGCCATGTCAAGACTTATATCTGCTTACATGTGAAATTTTCCTGAGCAGTTTGAACCCCCTCTCAAAACACCCGGTTCATGTCGTGACGCACTCTATGCAATACTGCGACGCAACCCATGGGAGCATTGCGGTACGTCACAAGACAGCTAGTGTAGCGAAGTAACTCCACCAGCGCCAAAGGCGACCACAATACTCAGTGTATGCGCTGTTTTCCGGTGTCCGAATGCGATATATAGTTGCAAAGAACCCAACTTTAAAGTAAGGTTGGGTCTGGTTGTAACCGGCACCACGGTTCGCACGGTCTCGTCGAACCATGCATTTGATGTTACATCGGCTCATACTCCGATAATGGCCTTGGCCAGATTCCAGGCTGCTTTGTGTAGACATGAAACCCTTGGAACTAGTGGATGACGCTCCTAAATGGTGCCATTGATCCTTTCCTGCGACGTTTTGGGACAAGGCCCTGACACTAAATCCTGATCGAGCTTGTCCGGCTTGAGGAAGAAGCAAAAGTGAATGACGCTACTATTAGAGCGTGTTCACCCACTTGCCTGCATCATTCCTCATCATAGGCCCCAGAGTAAATATGCTTAGCAATACTCCCCTTCATATACGAATTACCCCCAGCACACAGCCATACTAGCATGGAACTAGGCGGGGAACGATGCGGATAGAGTCCCCTTCCTCCCTTCGCCCCTTTGCCCGCAAACGTACCCGCACTATCATGAGATTTATTTCCTCGTCGATCTATCGCTAGCAGTGCTTTATTGGAGCCACTTCCGCTCAGTTAAGACGCCCCAACAGAGGACGTAGCATGTATGTCGCTCGAAATCGTGGAGCCTCGAGCGGTAGCGGCTCTGAGCCGGCAGCCTTCCAAGGTACCCGCCTGGGATATAAGACCTTCGCCGAGTTCGGCCTGGAGTTTCTTGTGGATAATGCCGTGTGCGTTGACATTTATATCCACCTCGTGATGCAGAATAATGCTACAGATAACTGCATGCCAGCGTGACGCTTCGCAACGCATCTTCTGAAGCTGACAATGAAGAAATTAGACAAGGGTGGAAGCTTGTGAAAGACTGGAACCCCCCACAGATACCCATTTCTGGTGTGCAGATTACTTATGAAAGCACCGCCGTTTTACAGTAGCCATCATCATTACAGCCAGCCACAGCGACAGTGACAGCGGCAACACAGATCTACCGATAACAACGCGCCGATTACAGTCACCCCACAATGGAATTCGCATAGGTGCTCGAGGACGCCATGGCACTGGCTTGGCAGTTGGCCGCGTTGTAGAAGGTGCATGTTGAGCTCGCATCGATCCAGGCGGCCGACATGCCCGTATAGAAGTTGAAACAGCCGCCGTCGTACCATTCCCATGCATACACCCAGGACACGGTGTTGCAATCGTCGCCACAGTAACATGTGCGGCCGTACACCTGCGGTTGCTGCACGCGGGCTTCCAGGTGGTGATCGTCGGTTTCAGTCGGCAGGGCCGAGGCGATGGCTGCGCATAGCGCGTAGACGCTGACGAAGGAGGTGGGTCTCAATTTTTGGGGGGTTCTTGAATGGGTTCTTTCAACTTTATTTTCCCTGCTTCCACTGTTGGGTGATGCGAAATAAGAAATTGGGACCTTAGGGAGCATGGGGGAGGAAACACCTGTATTACTACTGTCCGGAGTGGAATACAAGCACTTGCAACGCTGACTTTTGATGCATCACCCTTAAATACCTCCAACAAGCATCATATTCCCATTCGAAGAGAATGCTCAAGATGCTCACATACGGCTGTTGGCTGAGCAAATGGGCAACCCTATACGTCACGTCCTGGGGTCATGTGTGGGTGTGAGTCAAAGCCTAGAATTGATAGAATGAACGGACTGTATGCTATCGAGTGCCCCATGCAAGCCTTGCTAGAAGAACAGCAGCGGGCAAGGGACGGTGCTTGATCACCACCGTTCAAAAAAAAGATATAATCGTAATGAATACTATGCTCCAACTCGTCACTATCTTTAAACCATTTTTGAAACAAGATTCCTCATAAGAAGTTTATTGATGATAATAAAATGGAGTGATGTTAAGATCACGAACAAAAGGCGGTAATCTATATTCAAATTCCAAACAAAGTTCAATGGTTCACAAGATATGTTACTAAGTATATAGAACATACTGTCATTACACACTCCACCAATTATATGGTTGATGTCCAAAGAAATCGTCCTAGGCTCAACGCCGGTCCACACGCCCATTGAAGCAAGGCCCATGCGGCAAAACAATCAAAGTAATTGTCTTCTACTCCTCAGTACCTACTGCTAAGCATGCGCCCCTAAATACCGACCTTATCAAGCATGTCCAAAATGATTACCAAGCATTACCATGGGAGTAAGCTTCGGCATTGATTTCGAGCCCGTGTCGGGATCGAGGTCTAACCCGAACGGTGACCGGCTGTGTTATCGGAGGCGAGACCTTCTGAGAAAGTGCCGGCATAACCCTAACTGCATTTCACGGGTATCTATAAAGGTCGTCGGGTTGTCTGCCCTGCACCACCGTGTGTTTATTCCCTATCAAGCAAAGAGACTACAGTTCTCCATCTGAACACAGTCAATCACCCCCTTCTTCCATCCCTCCCCGGTTACAGTCTCAACATGGCCACCGCCAGAAAAGTCTCTATCATCGGAGTATGCTATCTAACCACCACCTCACTCCACTCTGAATTCATCCCTGACCGTGCATTCCAGGCCACCGGTACCCTGGGCTCGCGCATCGCCAGCGCTCTAGCAGCTGCAGGCCACGAAGTGACCGCGCTGCAGCGCAAAGATTCCAACAAACCCGCCCCCGAAGGCTTGAGAACCGTCAAGGTCGACTACCAGAACCGGGACGAGCTGATCTCCAACTTCACCGGTCAGGACGTCGTCATCAGGTGAGTAACCCCCCCCCCCCTTCCCTCGAATCTACCAGGAAACCAAACTAACCCCGCAACAGCGCCGTCCCCTTCCCTCAACTTACCACCGAAAAACCCATCATCGACGCCTGCATCGCCGCAGGAGTCAAGCGCTTCATCCCCTCGGAGTTCACCACCATGCTCGAGTCCCCACTGGCCATCAACCTCCCCATCGCGAGAGAGAAGGTTCTCATTCGTCAATACCTGAACCAAGTCATGCCCACCACCACAGGGACTACAACATGGACCTCGATCAACAGCGGCGCCTTCTTCGACATGGCCCTAAAATATGGGGTGCTGGGCCCTAACCCCATGACCAAGAAAGCCGTCTTCCACGACGGCGGCGACAAGCCCATCGCCGTGTCATTGCTCGCCGATATCGCATCGGCGGTAGTCAAGCTTTTCGAGGCTGGCAAGTTCGAGGCCGCCGCCAACCAGGCGGTGTATATCTGCTCTGCCGCGGTGACAGAGCGGCAGCTCACCCGGCTGGTTGCGGAGGTGTTGGGGATGGAGTTTGGGACGCCGGGGGAGGTTTCGGTCAAGGCGCTGATCGCGGAGTCAGATAGGAAGTTGATGCAGGGGGACCAGTCGGTGATGATCAATTACTACTTTCAGATGATGTATGGGGAGGGGTACAGGGGTGGGGAATTTATGGAGTATAATTGGAATGAGCGGTTGGGGTTGAGGATTATGGGGGAGGAGGAGTTGAAGGAGACTATTCGGGGGATTTTGAGGGAGTAGGAGGTTGGTTGGGTCTTTGCTTTGGCTTGTTGATTCGGGTGATGGGCTGTACAGTACATTGCTTCCGTGTTTGTGTGATCGAATCTGGGCCTCGTCTGTAGGTTAACTATGTGGAAGTTTATGTTGTACTATACATGGTTCTGGATCGCGGAATTACTTGGTTTACTCCCTGCGATTGCTATGATACTCTAGTCAAAACAACAAGAAACCAGGGCTCAAGTCAACAGAAGCTGATCCCCCCGTCTGGCGAGGATCTCTTCCCAATCCACCCCGCTTCCTGCCAGCGAACCAGTTTCTGCTTCCCTCAAACGACGCTCCCACACTTCCTCCAGTATGGCCCGGGCCAGCGCGATATTCTCGAACCGCCGGCGCGCGAACATGAGCTCAAGACGCCGGCGGATCACCGCCATCGCGTCGGGCGTTGTCACCTCTCCGCCAGCCAGGAAGAGCGGAAACAGCAGGGCGGATTCGACCTGTTCGGCCCAGGGGATTTCCCGGATGTGGGCAAGGGTCTCGGCGACGGCGACCGCCATCTTGGTACCGAGCATGTTGTCGGGTCGGCCCCTCTGGCGAGCATCGCCCCATGATGGGCTGCTGCTGCGGTGGCGCGGGAGAAATCCCCGCATCCGCCGGTACAGATAGATCTCGGCGGCGCTGCGGTAGGCGTATGCCAATGCGACCAGCGACGGGGACGCGGTGCTTGTGGTGTTGGGACATCGCCAGGCGAGGAGTTTCTGCTCAATGTCGGTGCATGACGAGTATACTTCCGGGTCCAGTTCGTGACTGCACAACGTCGCCTGCGTGCCATTATCCCCTCCTCGACGAGGAGAATCGAGAAAACTAATCTCCGCGATCAGCGGCAGGATCCCCGCCGCCACGCCCAGATACGTATCGACCACTCCCTCCGTGATGTCATGGAGGTAATCCGCGCGCAGCAGTGGCTTGGTCCCTAGCGTGACACTGCCCAGGATATCGTGATAGGCGAAATTGCGGAGGATCCACTGGCCCTCTGGGGTGGATTTGAGGGCGTGAGGGCCGACGACTCCACTCGGGGTGGTGGTGGTGGCGGCGAGAATGATGCTCTTTGCGCCGAGGAGATGGGCGTACCATCCGGTCTGATTACCGAGACATACCTCCGAAGTCAGGAGGACTAGGCAGGTTGCTGCGTGGGTGCAGACATTGTCGTTCTGTGAGGGGGTGGATAGAGCTAGGGCTAGGTGGCCCAGGGCGGTGGATCGCGCTTCTAGGGCGGTGATGCGGTAGCGCTCGTCTGCTGCGGCGGCTAGATGGCCTGCCGCCCAGGAGATCAATGCACCCGATAGAGCGGGCGAGACGATCGACATTGGGACGAATTCTGTGTTGGGAAGATGGAATCAGGTCAGTTGCGGTGTGGTTGATGGATTCTGGCGAGGGAGCAGCTCGCACCGGACAGAAAGGAGTTGTACTGCTGGCTGACTGTTAACATCTGGGTCATGATGTTGATGTAGTACTTCATCGCGTACTGCCTCATAGATGTTCGATCTGTCTCTCGGATGGTAAAAGGGTGGTAATCGTGGAAGAAATTCACTGGATCCACTGTTCGGACGGAAGGCGCGGCGCTCGATTCACCGGGGTGAGTCCGCGGATCAGGGGCAATTTGACGCTTGGGCTCTCTCACACATTCGAGATTGAGGCGGATGCAAGCTCCGCATTCAGGGAAGGTGTTCTCGGTGCATTTCTTGTGTCTGTGCCAGGATGAGTATTTATGATGAGGTAGAATGAGGGGAGGGGTGGTTCAGCGTGCGTACCTGTAACGGCATGTAAGACAGCCCGTCCGGTCGTGCTTGGAACCATTCCGTCGTCTCGCTTTGGGGTTGATTCTATTAGACATGAATTGCCTAGTACTGAGTATCTGATCTTATGTAAAGTTAGAGTGAGGAGGAGTGTTGTGTGGAATCTTGATGCTTGGATTGAGGGATTGATAAGAGGCGGGGTTACAACAAAGGCTATTCCTAACTCAGAAGTGGGTCGGTTTACCAGATACCGTATACACACAAAGCCCTAGACCCGAATGCAATATGTGATACTCGCTACAGTAACATCAGATACACCATATCACGGCACACTGATCACCACTTTCCCCGTATGGCTCGAATTCCACAGATACTCATAGGCCATCTTGGCCTGCTCGAACCCAAACACCCGGTCAATGACCGGCCGGATCGCATGCGCCTCGAAGCACGCGAGCATCTCCTGCAGCTGCTCGCGCGATCCCACCACCACGCCCCGCACGATACAGACCCTATCCAGCGCCAGGAATGCTGCGTCCGGACCGCGCAACTCCTTGCCCTTCCCCAGGGGATCTGGGTTGGTAATGTGCCCGATGCAGTGGATCAGCCCGTGCAATGCGATCGCGTCGAACGACTGCTGCAGGGTCAGGGTGCCCCCGACCTCAATGATATGGTCGACTCCGTTCCCCTGTGTGAGCCGCATAACCTCAGCGGCCCAGTCGGGGTGCGTCCGGTAGTTGATGAGATGCGTGGCGCCGAGGGCCCTGGCCTTGGCCAGTTTCTCCTCCGACGAAGAGGTGACAATCGTGGTGGCGCCCGCTGCATGCGCGATCTGCAAGCCGAAAGTAGCCACCCCTCCGGTGCCCTGCAGAAGAACGGTCTGCCCCGCGCGTAGGGGCACTAGCCCGTACAGCGCGTTCCACGCCGTGAGCGCGGCGCAGGGCAGGCACGACGCCTCCTCGAAGCTCAGGTAGTCCGGGATCCGGACCATCCCTAGCGCAGGGAAGATGAAGTACTCGCCGAGCAGGCCTTGGATCTCACCCCCGAGCTGCGAGAGGAGGCTTGCCTTGGTCAGTCGGCCGGCGAGGTGGTCCTGCGTGAAGTTGGCTAGGACGCGGTCGCCCACTTTCCATTCAGTGACGCCTTCACCGATCTCCTCGATGATGCCTGTTTCGCGGAGCGTTAGGGCTGTACTGTACAAAATAGAGAGAGAGAGAGAGAAAATGTATTCCCACCTGCACCATCGCTTCCAGGCACAAGAGCATCGGGTCCGGGGAAGGGATAGGTGCCTTTGGCTATGATTGCGTCGCGCCAGTTCAGTGACACGGCTTTGATGCGGACAAGAATCTGGCCGAACTTTGGGGAGGCCTTGGGCACTTCGCGAACCACGAGACTATCGAAGCCCTTCTTCTCGGGAAGATAGCACTGTTTGAAGGTAGGATTGGTAGCCATATTGGACTATGAAAAGTGATACAACGTGGCTGATATCTATGATATTCACGAAGATGTAATTCTATAGAGGAGATTACAGATCTTATATACTGTTGACAATTCCCTTTGAGCATTGTGAAGATAAGTGAGTGGGATTGAGATGCCAAGCTCAAAGACGCCAGAGACGCCAAACACGCCGGATACGCCAAACACGCCAGCCAATCAACTGTCTGTGCTTGTACCTGCACCCATTTGCCCAATGCAGAGTACGAGGGAGTTTTTAGGCCCTGTCATCAACCAGTAAGATTTTTAATTCCAAACGATTCTTCGAAATGACTAATGCTACTGTCTAGGACTGTCTAGGACGACTTGCACAAGGTAACTAGTGGACTGAAATTCATCACTGACAAGTGGCATACAATCACCCCTCTCAAATCCTTGCCGCCTAGCTTCCGCCCAAGTGTGCTTGGAGCATCCCCTTCGCTCCGACATGGAAAGCCGTTTTTCTTTCTGGATGACGATGGGCGGGCTTGGCTGATCCTACTCAAGGCCAACGGTTAGAGACCACATGTGTATTCCCCACTATGGCAGATCGAAATTACCCAGAGACACGGCAGGCTGACCAGAAGGTGTTCAAGCTTCAGATCTCAAGGGAATGGGATCAAGAGAACGGCCGCACAGGCGGACTGACAGGTTCCGAAGGCGCTGTTGCAGGCCAGGATTGAAGCTGGGATCGTGGCTCCAAGAGCAGCACCCCATGTGAAGCCTGCCGCAGAGTAGCAAGCCATCACCACAGTAGCACACCCGGTCTGGCAGACCCCGTAGCCCGCGGGTGTTGCGGAGGCATAGCCGGCTGCAAGAGCAAGGGCGCCCAGGGCTGGATAGGAGATTTTCATCGTGGTAGTTGTTCGTATGGTTCGGGTGGTGTGAATGTAGTCGTGTAGGTAGGAGATTCTTCAGTTGGTGTAAAGTCAAGAGACTTTTGAGGTTGAGTTTTGAAGAGGAAGACTGCGAACAGTTGGGTGGTATATATACCTTAGGTCTACCACATACCAGATCGGAAATCAACACTGTAATGTTAATCTCTTGCATGGTGTTATAAGACCTTTACTGTCAATTCGTTCACAACGGTGCTAGATGTTGAAAGGAATGTCTTTGTACGTTTTTAGCAACATGGTAAACCAATTATTGAAGGGCAGAGCCTATATGAGAACACACAGTAGGAGCCAGTAGTCACAGGAGTCAGTTCCAACAAAAGCATGCACTGCGGACAATGAAGAACCAATTAGTCAGAATCTAAGGTTTGGGAGGTTTAAAAATCCTTGCACTCCAGCTGGACATCCCGGAAAAATGCTTCAAGCCATGTATTTGGTTAATGTATGGTGGCACAGACCCTACTCGGTCTCAGAGTATCAGATATTTTATTTAGTTCAAGTTGTCTAGCTACCTAACAGACTCCCGATTAAAGCAGCCTTCCGCTTGATTGATAAAAGAGTTCCAGCAAACGGCGTGGGAGTGTTTCCTTCACTTGATCTCCACGGTACAGGACCATGTGCTCTCCTATTGTTGATGTGGACTTTGCCGCCTTTCTTCCAAGATAGCCACCATTTACCACTCATGGCCGGGATACTCATCAAAGTATCATTCATCCATCACCTCAAACAACAACCAAACAAACACAGTCACCGTTTTTCCTAGTCATGTCTACCACCATAAAGCTTTAGAGACATGGTTGCAGATCCGTTTTCCAGGCCTGTTTGGTCCATATTGTAGGAATTCTGATATAGTCATTATGCCGCCGTCATTCCCCCATCAACCATGTGCACGCTGCCCGTGGTGAACCCAGAGCTTTGATCCAGCAGATAGGTCACCAGTCCGACCACCTCCTTCGTCGATCCCACCTTCTTCATGGGAATGGAGTTTACCAGGGTCTTCATCAGACTCTCCGAGACCGCATTCCGCAACATAGGTGTATCAATCGGACCCCTACCCGCATCGTCAGTGATCTAGTCTCACTACTCCGGCTTCATGGGTATGAAAGGGAGAAAGTAAGAAACAAATAAGTGAATAAATAAAGAAAAAGAGGAAAGAAAGAACGGAAGAAGAAAAAGAAGAAGAAGAAGCAAGGGACGGATAGTAAGAATAAAACCATATCAACCAAGGGAGAAACTCACGGACAAACCGCATTAACCCGAATCCCATATGGCGCCGCATCCATCGCCGCCGAACGCATGATCCCCAGCACCGCATGCTTGCTCGTAGTATACGCCGACAGATTCGGTGCCCCCGTGACCGACGAATTACTGCCAAAGACGATGACCGACCCCGTGGAAATCTCCTGCCGACCAACCGCGTCCACCATGTGCCTCAGCGCCGCGCGGACGAGGTTCAGCGTGCCCTGCACGTTGACCCGCTGGGCGAACTCCCAGTCCTCGTCCGTCACGTTCCAGATGGGTTGCTGGCCGGACTCCCGCGGGTGCGCGCCCGCGGTGTTGATTGCGCCGTCCAGGCGGCCGAAGTGGGTGCCGGTGGCGGCGAGCCACGACTCAACGGCGGACCGGTCGCAGATGTCGGCGCGGCGGGCCAAGATGTTCGTCTTGCCGATTATAGGCTCCAGTTCAGTGGTGAGGGCGTCGAGACCCAATTGGGAGAGATCAGTGACTGCGAGGCGCGCGCCGAGCTGGGCGAGGTGAATTGCGATGGCGTGGCCTATGCCGGAGGCGGCGCCGGTGATGGCGTAGACTTTATTCCGGTGGGAGGTCATGCTGGCGAAAATATGGTTTCTGAGGAAATGGATGACGCTCGGGTAGAGGCGATACTGACTGGTTTTATGGTATATATATGTGAAAGACCATTATTCAAGGAGGGTGGGTGATGGGGGAGTTGAAGTATGACGGTGGGAGGTCAGAACTGGCAGCATGCTTACCTTAACTCCGAATGTGGATCTCAGTGGGGGGTGTCTATGTAATGTAAATTCTGTAATCCTATTATACTGCCCATATCAGAATTTTAATCTATATACAAAAGATGAAAGATTGAGAACCTTAGCACAACTAGGCTGTAGTCCTTTCCAACAGAGTACATCAACTGATCTCGATAGATAAACTGTCACATGCTACTTTTCTTTAGCTCTACATCGGAAACGCGACCCCAACCTTCCTACTGGGGATAATCCGTACTATGCGCGATCACCTCCATATTATCCATATTCTCCTTCAGCCCATTAACCTTGGCCCGCAACACCGCATAACAATCCGACCCCAGCGGCATCCGAAGATATGACGCCGATTCCGCGCAGAGACCCTGCTGCTCGACAGCGTCAAAGATCCGCGCCGCCGCCTTCTCCGGATCGCCCCGCTGGGTCCCGTCGACCGTGTCGTAGCGCTGCATCGCTTGACCCAGCGCCGTGCCCTCATACGCAGGGTTCAATCCCGTCGCCGGTTTAACGTAGGCGGAGAGAAACCCGGTCCGGAAGCCGCCGGGCTGGACGACTAGCACCCGAATACCAAATTCAGCCAGCTCAGCTGCCAAACTCTCGGATAAACCTTTGGGGAAATATGTCAGTGGCGCTGAACGATTCCTCGGGGTTATGACTAACCTTCGAGACCGAACTTGCTGGCAGAGTATAGCGCAGTGGCGGGACGCCCGATCAGCCCTGCGACACTGGAGATGTTGACGACGCATCCGGCCTTCTTCTCGCGCATGAAGGGAAGACAGCCCTGGATGACGCGGATCGGACCGTAGAGGTTTGTGTCGATTTGCTGGTGGATCTCGGTCTCACTGCAGGCAAAGTCAAAAATCAGCATGCCTCATCCAGGATAGGAAGACATATAGGCAGGTTTGGCTTGTTGACAACTTACCTCATATTTTCAAGACTACCCAAGATGGAGTACCCCGCGTTGTTCACCACCACGTCAAATCCCTCATGCTCGCGGGAGAGGCGCGCGACATGCTCCTTCGTTTTGGGATCCGTCACGTCAAGTTGTACCCACATGCCTCCCAGCTCCTCGAAATGAGGGTAGCTCTGCTGCGCCTTGGTTATATTCCGCACCGCACCGACGACCTTGTGGCCTGCGCGGAGAACATGATGAGCGAGCGCGGCGCCGAGACCGGACGATGCGCCGGTGATTAGCCAGGTTTTGCTCATGGTGGTGCTTACCAAGTTGCACGATCCTGAAATTTCAAAGAAGACTTGAGATTTTCCTAGCAGCAGATGGCAGGCTTTAAGTACACTCTCGGTTGTATGGGATCAACTCATGATCTCATGCGCCCGGGAAATGAAACCGAAGCCCCACACTCGGCAAGCCGGAACCATCTCAGAAACCCTGAGTGGTGCGTGCCCCACTATTTCACTGGGCCAAGACGGAGATATCCATGGACTTAGCAACAGGGTCCTCATCAGTCGGCGTTAAGCTGTCATCATCGATGGCCCACTGTGCCTTCGGCTAAATCTCGCTTGTATCGGTTGATGAAGACTACAAAGTTAGGCTAGGCAGTTTGTATGCTACAACTCCTATATAGTCCAGGCATAGGCCAATTAACTATTCACAGATCCTCCGACCTCACCCCCGCCAATGAAATAGAAGAAGTCTTTGCCACCACCACCAACATCCCCAAATCAACCCCTATCAAACTCGGCAAAATGTCCTCACCTCAACCTCCTCCTCCTCCACTACCATCACCCAACACCCGCCGCATCATCACAACCCACAACGCCTCCCGCACCGCCACCATCGCCATCAACGCCCCGAAAGAGCCCACCGCCCTCGCAGACGGCACATACCTCAACCCCCTCTGGTCGTCCGCCGAGATCCCCGCCACGATCGACCAGGACTCAACCAAGATCGAACCCGACTCGACCGCCGCAACAACCGGCGGCTCCGTCTTCTGCACCTACGATTTGCCCCCGCGATACGAGGGCCCGATGCATCGCTCCATCACCCTCGATTATGTCACCGTCACCCGTGGCGTCGTCATGCTGAGCACGGATGATGGGTCCACGGTGACGCTGCAGGCGGGCGACACGGTCGTGCAGAGAGGTACCATGCACAAGTGGGGGAATCCGTCGGATGAATGGGCTAGATTGACTTCAGTGATGGTGCAGGCGCGGCCGGTGGTGGTGGAGGGGGAGGAGATGGGGGCGGTGTGGCCGTTTTAGTTCTTTTGATATTGCACGGGAGAGGATGTGGTAGTCGAATTGTTGAGTGAAGCAGTTTGTGGGCTTGCACAACTATAATCACTGTAATGATGGGTTAATGTGTAGGGATCTATTCTGTCTACGTCCGAAATAATTGGAGATTGTTTTTTTTTTTTTTTTTCTTTTCGTCCCTTTTCCTTTTTTGCTTTTTTTCAATTGAAGTTTGAAGAGTCCTGTCATCCCTTAACCTAGGGAAGCCCATTCATGAATACGGCCAAAGCCTAGCAAGCATCGCCCTCTGTTTCGCATCCTCCCCCAACGCGATGAACTCATTCCTGAAATGCTGGTTCAATCTCTGAGCATCATCATACTGCTCGCGCAGAACCATGCCGCTCAGAGGGAGAAGTCCTTGCTCTTGAAGCTGGCGTAAGACCAATGAAACACCCTCGATAAGCTCCATCTCTTCCTCATGCTCTTCGAGCTCACGTTGAGAGAAATTGATCGGGCATTTGATCCCACTCGTGCATACATCGTCCCACTGGGCGACCACTGCGATCATTGCATGGCGGAGAGAGAATAGGTCATTTCGCTCCCCGCAACCTGGTACCAGCCGGGTAGGGTCCGTTCTGAGTTTATGATACGGCTCAGTGAGCGCCTCCCATCGCCTGAGATTCAGACCCTTGAGCTTGGTGAGATAAATCTGGCGGAGTGGGTCGTCGCCTTCTCCGGTCCCCGCTGTCGTTGGTTCCAGCATCTGGGCAAACAGCGGCTGTAGATCAACTGGCGAAGCGGCCGCATGCTGCCAGTCGATGACGGCCGTGATATCGTTGGTTGCTGGGTCGACGAAGATGTTGTCCAAGTGTAGATCAGGGTGGAGCAGCTGACTTGGGAATTCACGATCCTCGGGCTCTCGGACCAGGTAGGGCACAAGCTCGATGTACCGCTTCAGCAGCGCGATGTACTCATCTGCAGTCTCTGGCTGCTCCTCTGATCGCTGGTCGTTCATTCTTGGTTGTGCGTGCGTCTGCGTCCATTGAATCTCGTTTTTCGCAATGGCTCTCGCATACTCCGTCATGTTCTTGACTGTATATGTGCGTGTTAGAGAGCTTACGTTATGCATTTACATGGAAGTGTAGCTTACATGGCCCCCTCTGGAGGTTCAATCTTGCCTCTCCTGTTGGGCGGTGCCAGTATCGTGGATGGGTCAACAGACCAAGAACAAAAGCAGACTGACTGTCACCGTCTGGACTCTGTATTGGATGGAGACTAGGATGTTCTGGTCTTGATCCCAGGTCTGACTGGAAGTATATGCATCCATGCCTCGGGAAAGTGACAGACGTAAGCCTCTGCTCGATGTCGACGACTTGGTCGACGATGTGCGACCGAGCCGAAAAGGGTAGGTCACTCCACAGGAGCCCTAACGGCTGCCCGCTCGCTTTCTCCTCCAGAATATACTCGGCTCCGACTGCATTGGCTTCATCTGCAGACCAGGCGTAAATTCGAGGGACGGGGATAGCGAGACGGTCTCGGAGCTGTCGAATCCATCAATAAGTAGTTTGAAACAATGCACTTTCAGGAGTTGAACACCCACAAACTGTCGCGTCGCCACCTCCGATGCGGTGGTGTAGAATTTCGGCCCTGCATTAGGATTGGGCAGCCGAGCTACCACCTCCTGGCCATTGTCCATCGACAGGATCAACGACTTGTTGTATTGCCCTTCGATACATTTGAGGACCTTGGTACCTGTGATAATCGATTAACTATACTGTATGCTTAGTGTAAGAGAGAGTCTCACAATTCGAAGCATCATGACCAGCAGCTTCGATGGCGGCATCGACCAGTGCTGGGAGCCGGAATTTGCGGTACCGCGCAGCCAGTTGCTCGGCGTCTTTGGTGCTGTGGAGATGTCAATAAGCAATTGGGTTTATAGGAGAGAGAAAAGAACGGACAGCCAGCGATAGCGTTGGTATTGGTACAGCTCGGCTTCTTCGATGGGGACCTCTGCTCATAAAATTTTAAATTAATGCTACAAGGTATGCGGATGGTGATGGCAGAGGATACCTTCGCCGTGCTCGAGTGCTCTCCATAGTGGTGGTGTCGTATAGGTACGGGTGAATTGGCTCTTCCCTGTAAAAACCGGGGTTCTGAACAACTTCCACAGCATGGGAGAAGACGGGTGGTGGAGAAAAACAATTTGGTCCTGGGTGCATCGGGTGGAACGTCAAACTTCTAAATAGCTGTGGTTCTTTGCGTGGGACAGATACTGCTGGGGTAAAGGAAGGAATGTGGGGCGGGATCTGCATCGGGGGCGGGAAAGCTCTCTCGGTGCGTCAAATATGTAGTGTTCATATATCCAATACTGGCCGTGGTAGATATACGGGCTGAAGGTTGCCCCCTGGAATAGATTAAGTTGATGATAGAGTATCTTAATAATGTTTATCCACGCTCGACAAAGAGATAATATGAGCACCGTGTTATGCGGATCACAGGAGCATGTGACAGAGAGAAGATCGAGACACTGAGTTCACGCTTCTTAGCTGGACCACTGCAGTCACCTGGCTGATATTCGCCACTTTGGAAAAGCCTCGCAGCAGAACTATGTCCGGGGAGCAATCAGGCTCGACTCATTTCAATGAGTCAATCAATGCGGTTCAAAAGGGTTAGCCTGGGCATGTGATGTCAGCCCTAGTTGAAATAGTCCCTTGCCCCTCCTTTCAAGGCTGCCTGCCACCAGATTCTGTTTCTCTTTCTCCCAGCATGCTGAAAATGTCTCTCGCCGACTATACCTTCGATCCAAGTGTTCTTCACGAGTTCTACCGTGTAGAAGAGTTACCTCATCTAAGCTCCGAATTGACCCCCATCCCCCGTCAACTTCAAGCCACGATCGCCCTGCTGCAGCCTCTACGGAACACCGACATCCTCGAATCATGTCGCCAACCCCGTGCAACCCCATACACCGGGTGCCGCAACGCCAGACACGAGTATCTCAACCTCGATCCCCTTAGCAAAGCATGGAGACAGCAAATGATGAAGCTCCCCCCTTTCGCGCGGCTGGTATTTGATCTGACATTGCCTCCACGGGACACCAGCCAGTCGCCAGAAATATACGGAGCCCATAATATACCAGAGAAGGTCTGTTGTGTTGTGGAAACAAGGGACATTACGACACTGGTTAGGTCGATCTCTTTAACTACAGTGATGCGGGCGAAGAGTGAAGTAATATCATTTGATGTTGTCTTTATCCAGGAGGATGGGATACCTGTCAAAGGTATGGAGGGTTTGAAGGGCCAGCTTGTTGCACTGAGCCAGGCAAAAGGCACCGCGGAGGCGAATAAGCGGAAGAATGCCATTGCTGGGGTTCGTGAGATTGACGGCTAGGACAAAGGTTATGAGTCTACATTCGTGTTGTATCCTGTCTGGTTACACTATAATCATGAATACTGTGTTAGAACAGCAGATACGCAAGGAAGGGCTATGGAGGTCAAAGGTGAGATGCCTGTCGGTGCTACTTGCCACCCTTCTCGACTGTGCCCTAATTCACTACTACATATCTCTCAATACCAGGTCATGTGCTAGCCACAAATGTTGTCTGCTATTCTATGAGCGATAAATGACAGACTCCAACACCGTGCTTCCAAATTGTCATCATTTTCTGCTATCTCCTTGCTCCTAATCCCCAGCGCATTGGATGCCCGACAAATGATAGTCAGGCTTGGCTAATGGCCAACCCACGCGGCGCGCGCATGGACCCATCGCAGAAAAGGTGGCCAGAAGTCCCAGCATTCAAGAGACTGACCGAACCGCTACAGCCTGGACACTCTCTTTTATGTTATACCACTTCAGAGTCCGGGACAAAACAACAGGAGAAACCAGTATCTAGACCCCGTATTTGCGCCCGTCCAGCTATAGCAATTTATGCCAATGTCGCGAAGGGGACATTCGCTGGGAACCGGTAGGCTACTGCCCCGCGTATTCTTCGACACTGATCTGCCGCAGGATAGTTCACTCACTGATCAATGCAGCGTTGTTCCGGTTCCTGGATAAAAAGGTTGCGTCACGGCAGATTGCAAGAGCTCATGATCTAAGTCGTCATCGTCGCCGACTCCCTCCCGCCAGCGCCCGAATGACTGCGCCGAGGTCCCAGCGGAGGAGGTTCTTACCAGAAGAAGACGAAGGCGAAAGCATCGCCCGCAAATTCGGAGGCGCATGCGCCACCGCGCTGGGGACAGTGCTCGTCATCGGCTTGAGCGGATACGCCTACCACCTCTTCTACAAACAGCTCGTGCTTCGGAAGATGACGCGCGCGCTGGCGGACGGATACTCGACAGTGGAGCAGGCCGCGTTGGCGCAGCAGCAACAACAGCAGCAGCCACAAGCAGCCCTCGCCATCAACAAGGTCGAGATGGTCGCGCACGAACTCGATAAGCGCAACCTCGGTGCTTGTCCCAGCCAGCTGCATCCCATCGCCTTGGGTGCCTTTCTCCAAGGCCGTAGAGTTGAGCACGATTGAGTCTTTGACCAGATCTTTCACTAGATCTGGTAACATGCCCACCGCGCTGGGTAAGGAGACGACGTGGTGATTGCAGGCCCCAGGTGCAGGGGGCACATCGCCAAACGGGCCCGATATCCCGACGCGGCCGCCCACCACCAGCATCTTATTCTGGGTCAGCGTGCCCGTCTTATCGGAGCAGATGGTGGTGGCGTTGCCCATGATCTCGCAGGACCGCAACCGCCGCACCAGATTCTTGTCCTTCAGCATTCTCGTGGTGGCGAAGGCCAGCGCCATGGTGACCGCAAGGGGGAGGCCCTCCGGCACGGCGATCACCACCACCGTGATAGCCAGGATCAGGACGTTGAGGAATTCCTCGCCTTTGCCTCTGGCCCCGCCCTCGATCTGTCCCAGCTGGCAGAGGAACCGAACAAAGATGACGACAAAGAAGACCCCTCCCACCGTCAGCCCAATGGTGACAATGTGTCTCGCCAGCACCTCCAGCTTCTGCTGCAGGGGCGTTTCCTCCACCTCGTCCCGAAGAGACAACATGATCCTCCCGTGGCTGGAATGTTCGCCGACCGCGGTGACCAGGAACCTGCCCACGCCATTGGTGACTTTGCTGCCACTGAGCATGAACGGGTCATACCAGGCTGCCGACCCGGGGGCCGGCGGTGCGTGCAGATTCGGCCATCCCGTCGTCTTATCAATCAACTCAGACTCTCCGGTGGCCGAGGACTCATCGCATTGCACGCCGAACCCCTGCACCAGGATCCCATCAGCCGGCAAAACATCCCCCGTCTCCACGTGGACCAGATCCCCGACCAGAATCTCGTAGATGGAGATCTGCCGGGCCAGACCCGCGCCACGGAAGACAGTGACCTCCCGTTCTTCCTTCTTCCGGTTCACACAACTGGAACTTCCGGCCCTTCTGGTAGTCGTTCAGCGCCGTCGCCAGCACGATCACGATCACCGCCACCAGGATCGAGACCCCTTCCACCCATTCCACGCTGGGCTCCCCGGCGGCCGCGGTCACGGCCTGGTAGATCCCCAGCGCCAGGTTGACGGTCGCCGACGCAGTCAGCAGGAGCATGAGTTTGTCGTTGAAGGCCATCCACGCGAAGTGGAGGGAGGAAGGGCGCGGTGGTGCGGGAAGGCGGTTCGTTCCGTAGGTCGCGCGGCGGTGGTCCAGCGCGGTTGTTGTTCCATTGTTCGTCGCAGAGTCACTGTCGTCAAGTCCATGCTCGAGATCGGTTTGCAGAGCGACTGCGAGTCCGTCGAGGCCACCGAGGGAATGGAAGATCGCAAGGTCCTTGGTCGAGGTGAGGGTGCTGAGCTGCCCTGGTGTGACGATGATTCTGCCTGCCCTTAGATCCTCCATAATATTGGGGTTGACTGGTGGTAGTGGTGATGGTGCGACACGGTGGATGGCAGGATTGTCCGGCGCAGGTGTGATTTCATCCTCCATTGCCGTAAGTGCAAGTGCGACGCAAATCGATCGACAAGGGAGTGCCACATTATCGTGACTTCAGATCAGGGAAGAAGCGACTGCACGCTGCTAGGCTGCCAGAGTAAGGAGTTTTCGACTTGCCAAGAACATCGGCTGATATTTCAGCCTGGTGGACAAGTCACCGACTGCCAAGCCTAGGCGATCACCCATATCTTCCCTTGATTGGGCCGGAGTTGGTCGCAAGAGTGGGGCTCGATGGCGTCCCTGGCGATACAGTCCCTGGCAATGAGTTTGCACCCCCCCCTGCAATGGCTCGTTTGCTAGCCTATTTAGGAATAGTGTAGCCGGAATTCCGCTGGCAGAATCCCCACATCAGCCAATTCTTTCCTTCATTATCTGTGCGGTATTCAGAGTAGGAAGGCGGTGATTAGTTAGCGCGACACCTGACCAAACGGGGGGAGGTGCAAACTCATTTCCTCCCACTGTATCGATAGCAGAGATGAGATAAGGTTTAATCAACAGCCCTATGGATTGGATAAGTTACATAGTACAGTACAGTATAGTACAGTACAGTATAGTACAGTACAGAGGAGACCTCGATAACAATAGCCCCTTAGTAAGCATTAGAGCAATCATATGGCTTAGAAGAAACAGATATACAAGGACCTAATGGATATGAATAGCTACTATACATGATGACGAGCTGTTATTGTCCTAGAGTTACAGATAGCCGTACTGGAACTATTACACTTTGCGCATACTTTCCTGGGTTGGTTGAAAACATGAAATGGTGGGTCACTTTCAACAGTTCCACATATCTTAGACCATCACCGATTTCCTAGTTCGAAGGTCAGTCAAGAGGTATTCAGAGAAACAAGGGAGAGCAATCCGCAATGAAACCTCTCCACGACGTCGTGGCAAACTTTACCAGATCTCCTTGGGTGCGGTCGCTTGTAGAGCAGAAAAGCAGTGACCATCTCAATTCCCAGACCGAAGACCTCCCCTAGAAATTCCATGGTCTCTGATTCGGACCACCCATGCCGATAGTGGTCAAGATAATCGGGGATCAATGACACGGCGAGATGCAAAGCGATGATAACACCCAGTTCAATCCAAACAAGAGTGCGGACACCGTAGAAATAGACTTGGCTCCATATAACTGAAGAGGCTCTGACTCCGTGATAGACTCCTTTCAGGAAGGGGTCGAAGGTTGGGGATGGGGACAGCGAAAGAAATTATGGCTTGATGAGAGAAGTCATTGGTAGTATAGTAGTGGTTATGAATAGCAGAATTGGTCTGGAGATAGTTGGGAAGAAACGGAGTGAGCTTCAGGTTCGCACAAAGAATTGCTCCCTGCGAGGGCTAATGGTAAGGCACAGAATTTAATCAATCCGAACAGGGCCCTGAACAGGATGGACGGGAAGGGTTCGGTTTATCCCTGAAGGCTTAGCGCGCGCAGGGCTGGGTCAAGTGTGGGATTGTGGGGATTCAAGATCCACCAGGGAGAAATCCTGCAAATAGGCAGCTATCTGGCTATAGCCGAATATCCGAAGAAACTTGCTCGGGTCGGTCCAGTTGTGGTTAAGGTGTATTACATGGAGTAACCCCCTGTTATACTGAGTATGGTCACTCACAACTGTTGATAGAGTCTTATTCATTCAACAATTTTGGATCCACTGGCCTTATCTGAATCTATAAGTATCATTCGCCACCGAGCGTTGGATTATTCCCGGATAGAGGTAAGAGCTGTAGAACAATAATGGTGGCGAAAAAGGATGATTATCACTTACTGAGCTTGATGTTGGAACCGGGCAGCCGAGTGTTGTTGTTACATACAGATACCGGTGAATGGTTGCAGTAATTTATAAACACAGGAACTATTGCTAAGATGATTCAACTTAGTCATTGGACCCTTAGATTTGGGATCTACCTGAGCTTTTACCTAGTAGGGAGATCTCTAGCTTCGATGTATTAATCCTGATCCAGGTAGTTTGTGTTGCTAAGTTTGAAGGTAATATACCGATATCCGGTACCATACACTTGAACCTAGGAGATGGTAAGATTACTGTGGGTGTGATGGTGGCTAATCAATGATCAACATAAGAAGGTTTTACACCATGATAGAACACTATTGTGTCAAGAGATCTAGGAAATGCACATCTGTAGCGCAAGAATGCACATACCCATCATTGATATCCAATTCAATATCAAGGAGGTAAGGTTTCTTAGTACAGACTGATCCACCGAGTTCTTGGCATTTGCCGTGGTGAAGGGGAGTCGCTTATGACTACTGGGTAGAATTAGTCGGACATAGATACCAAGAGGGTCCTTGTGCAACGTCTACTGTCAAACTTGCTTCAGAATCATGTGTTTTATGAGCACGGAAACATGCCCTATAAGATCTGTTGATAGGTTTGTATTTTTGCCCTATCGGCTCCTACTATTGCCTAGACTCGGCTATAAGATGGTCTGGTGATTGTTGTCTATGCGGTCTAGAGGATGGGGTTTTTTTCCAAAGAAATTATTAGAATTTTCGTCTGCAGGAAAAGCCTGTAAAGGGAAGCCTCCCCTTCATTCTTTCAGGGTTCTTGTTATCTCTCTCAACTGGCGCGTCGTCTGAATCTTTTCCGTGCATTCTCACTTCTTTGATTTCGTTCCGAGCAAGGCCCCCTTCTCTCCAACATGGAATGTGTACAGTATAGCATGCTAGGTCTGTCGGTCCTGTCGACCGAGGCACCTGCCGCCATTCCCATATCCTGGACCGTGGCCTCTGCAATACCCAATGTTGTATTGGCGAATATGTATGGCCGTGGTAACACAGGCGTGATTGTCGCCGGCCTGCACGGGGCTATTCACATCATCGATACCATTGATGACTGTATGGATGCTGCAGAAAGTGGCACCAGGAAGGATGCTCTGACCTGTGCTGTATCCCTCCTCACCGGGGCGGCCGTGTTCGGCCTCGCTGTCGAGAATTATCGGCTGACGGGCGCGTTCACCAACAAGCGCGAACTGGAGGGAGACTTCTCCCACCTCGACCGCTGCTTCAGCCAGCTGGGCGACGGGGCCTCGGTCTGGGACATCCACTACGAGGGCATCCCGCTCAATGCCACCCACCTGCCGCAAACTCTGCAGAAGCGAGGCAGTGGTGACGACACGCCCGCTGGAGTCCGCGCCCTGCACAATTCCAGTATGCCATTGAGCTTTATCTACGAGAGCACTCGCAAGGATTACGTCCCCCTCCTGGTGGCCACCAATGGCACGCACTATCACATCGGTCATCTGGCCCCCGTTGGTGGCACTACTGCAGGCGAGGAGAGCGCCTCGCTGCGCCGCCGCACCGACATCGCCCCGGGCGTCACGCATGTCGGAGCCGGCGGGGTCAAAGTCCAGTGCAACTCGAAGGGTCCGGTGATGACCGAGCAGCAGGTCCAGCTCTTCATGGACGAGCCCATGGGGACCACCAGCAGCTCGGCTGCATTGAGTGTCTTCCTCAGCGTCGTCAACTATGCCACATTCACCGGGTTTTCCTTCAATGAATGGGTGGATTCGGACCTCAGTGGGCAGTGGGCCATGGAGGCGGAGACCGCTGAGTTCGGATCGAACTGGGAGACTAACTGGAACTGGTGTTTTGGGGTGGAGGAGAACTATTGCGATAAAGGGTTGTAAAGGGAAGAAAAGCTGGTGCATTGACGATTTAAAAAATACCAGTTCGGTAGTCATGACGTACCCATAATTCGAACATGTTCAATTGAATGTATTTGTCTCTAGTAGCCCACAACATTTACATCGAACCCTAGAAGATCTGATTCCGCAGCGGGCCACAAGATAGTCCTGGAAGGATTGTCAGATAAATCATACGGAGGTCGAAATTCGAGCCGTTCATAAACTCCTTCCTGAGGAGGACTAAGGATAATATCAAATGACTAATACACGTCAAAAAGTCAGGCGAAGAACCGATGTCAGAGGAGCTTTGCTTTGACGGCAGCGGGGAACACATTGAAAGTGGCTTGGTTGTGGGTATCGCAAATATCAGATAAACCTAGATACTTGGGACAAGAGATCAATCTTTGTTGTTTTGTCTATTTCATCTCTCCTGGTATGAGATAGTGTTAAGCGTCCACTGACTTCGAGGAAAGATCAGGACAATCTGATTGTTAGGACAAAGCAGAGCAGGTGACCTTCAGACATAAAGAAACAATAAACTCCAAGCGAAACTTGAAAGTATGAAGTAAATTCCATATCGCATCTCCTTTAAATGGGGCTTTGTTGGTTTATTTCTCAATGGTTGTGCAAGAGCTAGAAGGAATGGGCTGTATGATTCGAGCTTGATTTTGTTTGTAAATCTCGCATGCTCTTTTGATCCTTGGTATACGGCCAAAGGGATACGAGGTATACGAGCTTGGCTTGTTTGTCCTTGCTTGGTTTGTCGAGATAGTTACACTGCATCAACACCAAGAATCGACCAGACTTTCTTTGATGGCTCTGTGCTTTATGCATTTCCTACACGTTGAACAGGCGAGAATGTCGAGGGTATACATAGCACCATCTAACCTCAAGAATCGAAGTATCCATCAGCTCCATCACAGGTGCACAAGACCAAGGAAATGCAGAGTTCATCTTCCAGCACGCAAGCTCATTCACAAGACAGGCCTTATTTCATCCTTACCATCTTATTCCAAACAACGCGCGACAAAATGTCTTCCGAAGTTTGCGGAAAGAAGTGTGAGGACCCCCTACTCTACGGGCTAGGCTCGCACGGCCACGACCACCCATTCCAGAAGGAGGCCCCGAAAGAACTCCTGGACAAATTCGGCCACGGCCACGAGGAGCTCTTGATCGGCTGGGACGGAAAGCATTCATTCCAGTTCATCCGGCATGAGGAGGACTGGAAGGCGCGCCTCTCGGAGCGGGCGCACGATCTCTACCACAAGATCCGGGACGACTATCAGGGGATGCCCGCGCTGGAGCCGGGCCATATCCGGGTGCGCTTCAGTGCGGTGACCAGGTCGCGATGGTCGACTGGCCCGATCGCGAGGCCGACGCCTACTACGCGCGCTTCCGCCACCTGCCGGCTTACCGGTGGGCTTCCGGCTTGCCCTGCCAGTAGCTCGTCGTCAAGAAGTCGGACAAGAAGAAGGACACAATGACCCTCCGCCAGATCGACGGCACATCTATGGCCACGGCCAAGAAGTTCTGGCGCAGGGCTCCCTGTTATCACCTGGCCGGCTACTGTGATAAGGAGCGGCTCCAATGGATTTAGGCAGACTGAAGCGCTGTCACCAGGTATCTGATCAGAGCCAAGGAGATGCGGGGCTTGGATCCTCTTGTTTTTCCCTAGGTAGCTTACTGTGCAGGCCCTAGTATAGTAGGAAATGAAGATAGAGCATATGCAAGGCTTTGTGTGACGCGAAACAGAACGTAAATCAACGCAACGGTCAAGAGGAAGTAAAAGTACAGGGCGCGGGTTGAATGAATCGCGGTACCCCTTTCATCTTGCAGAGGACGCAGCCACAGGTGCTCAGTAGCAGAAAGAAGGCCTGATTGACTTGTCTGGTAGTGGAACTCATGGTATAGGACATCATAATATGAGACGGGCAACAGCTGGAAAGATTTCACAACACATAAAGCACGGAACATGACAGAAATGATTTAACGAATTCAGATTATAAACACCAACAACGCTCATTCTGTATGTTGGATGCCAACGTCAATTTCCCTGCGGTCGCGGATGGTACGTGTCTTGTCACGGCGCAGGCATCTCAGCAGTAGCAGACAGCCCGTGTACCTCCAAGAGCTCCTTGGCATGCCGCGTGAAGGACAGCAGCCACTGGCGGTAGCGGTACAGGTCGTCCAAGTCCATCTGGGCGCTGGCCTCGGCGTCATTCTGACCATTAATCAGGATTAACATGAAGAACGTCTCGATGATGCTGGGCGGTACGTTGGAGATCAACTGTCCGGTGAGACTCCACTTCATAGCGCTGGAGGCGACCACACAACCGATGGTGAGGAGAAAGCCTGCCATAACCATGAGAGTATGAGAGGTAACCGCATCCATCCAGCGGGAGACTGTCTGGCTTAGAGAAGGACGCTGAGCGTTGCTACCTGCGGTGTCATCGGTAGCGAGAGAGAGTTCCGTGAGCAGCGCCGCATCTGCATGTAAAACCATCGTCATCTGGCCTTTGATGTACTGATGCACCTTGCTTTGAACATTGCGAAGAACAAAGCTGTCAAATAGACCCACCAGTCCGGCGTACGTTCCGATCAGGAGCCACCAGCTACTGTCATAGTGGAGGACGGGGCCGACCGCAGCCCAGACGATGATCACCAGCACGAGGAGCATGAGGCCCACCAGGGTTCCAACGATGTCCGCGTAGTAGAAGATCACCACCTGCAGGATGTTCTCTTTAGGTAGTGGGTCAACTACCATAGGGTTCGGTAGATCATCCTTGGTCAAGCAGCGAAGCTTCATCTCAAGGGTCGAGTCGAGTCGGAAGATGGTGTCAAGAGAGGCGTTGTTTGAATCTGCGTAGCGTTCTCGAAGGCAAGCGAGAAACGCAAACACCAGAATCATCAGCGCGGATGTCGCGTCGTTGATGTAGAGCTGCCACCGGTCGGACCAGTTGCAATGCGGGCCGAAGCCCAGCCAGATCACGACACAGACCCAAAAAAGAAGGGAGCTGAGTACATGCCCAAGCGCTCTGGCGGAGTACATGATACCCTGGACCAAAAGACTTTGGGTGTTCAAGCTGTAGTCTACGGACTCAGGACGCTCCGCATTGCACTTCTCGGCGACTTGACGAACCCCGCCCCGCCCCAGCTTCTTCCTGACGTCGGCGAGCATGCGTTGATGACTGTGGCTGCGGGACTGGAGCTCGACGAGGGCTTCGCGCTGATCGGAATACTGGCGCAGGAGCTGACGCATGATGAACGAATCGAAGACGTAACAGAGCATGGCTTGAACATCGGAGATGGAAGCGATCCAGACGCTCACGTTTCCAAACCGAATTCCCAGCAGAGCCCACGTCAACAAACCGGCAAGGATTATGAGAAAGACAGGTACGGAACCGGAAACACGGACCATAACATCGAGGCAACGATCAACGAGCTTCGGGCTTCGCCTGGCCCGCAGCCCAGAAACCTCGTTATTCAGAGTGTCGCGCATGTCCACCTTTGCGTCCATTCCATTTTCCAGCCACTTGGTCTCGGCAATCCCCTCCACCTCGCATCGAAAGGCAGGGGTAAAGTAGTTCATTTTGTTGTTTTGCTGAGAAGTTACGGCGGATGAGTGAGATTTGCTGATTCGCAGAAGAGCTGCAGTAGGGCCAGCACGCGTGGGATGGAGAGGACGATGGACACGAGCGGATTCATAAAGCGAGGATCAGCCATTCGGAGTTGATAGAAGCGGTAGCGGGTATTATGATTGGAGAATTGCAGCAAGTAGCCGTTTAAAAGTAAGAGGGACAAAGATAGACGAAGTTGGAAGAAGGATCAGGTATATATATAAAGTACTAGAGATTGAAGGGAACAGAGGGGGGGGGGGAAATAAGAAAGCATTGGGGTCGGAAGAAATGCCGTTTTAGGTCGGCCTCAGGAACACTTCCGTCCCGGTCGGAATTCAAGCTTCCTTGGCGGGGCTTGAAGTGATCGAATCCCTGGGTCGGGTACTCTTGGCCTGCGCCAATTTCTTGATTGGGTGGAATCAATGTAGCTGCCTGGAGAAGTCCCACAAAGAAGCAGAACCTTTCCCATGAACACACATATAAGATCAGCCGGACCCCATGTAGTGCTGTTCACTCAAAGCACCCCTTCTACTGACCCAGATAATCAAAATGTTTGGAACAAGTCAAGCATTCACTGGTTCGTCTTGTAATCCATATTAAGAGCCAAACTACTCCCAGAGAGCCTTAGCGCATGCTGAAGGGCTCTTCTTATCCACTGCGCAGACTCCACGCCCACCTGCTCCAGCACCCTCGGGTTGCGCTGGAGGGCAGAGGAGGCGACATTCAGTGGCCACACAATGGCCCGACCGCGCATCGACAGCCCTTCTACCGCGTCGTTGCTACCATCACCGCCACCACTGATTACCGCGTGAGTGCTCTGACAGATGTCTCTGATCATACCCACAATGATCTGCTCCGAATCCTCCGCGTACCCGTTACACAGCAGGATATTTTGGCAAAGCATGATGCGCGTGGCGAAACAGAAAGTTCGCGGAACGGCATTCCAGCTGGTCTCGTAGACGTAGACCCGGGATGGGGCGCCGGGCCATTGCAGAATTGCGGGATCACCGGCCCTGACCTCCCGCTCGGAGAAGTGAGAGCCTTGGGGTAGTTGGGCTTCCCAGGCTTCCAATGCCTCATCGGCTGCGAGTAAAGTATCGGCCATGTCCGACATAGCTTGGTGGTTAAAGGTAACAATGTACGAGTCGATCTCGGCTTGCCACTGTGCGAGCCGATACATCGTACAGAATAGATGGCCGGCCGAGAATGCCGGGTCCATCACCGCGGTCCACCATTTTAAGGGAAGCTGCGGCCGTGAGCGTTGGTTTAAGCAATTAATTACCATTAGCAGGTACTGATATTTGAGGAGATAAGGATCAATGCTGGCTGCTGAGGTGGGGGAAGCGATTTGCTGCCGCACCATGGAGATAGCTCCGTGCTGGTGGGCCGCATGCCAGGATTGCACTGGGTCCGGGCTGGGAAGGATTGAGTCAAAGAGCCCCATCAGCGCAACCGAGACGACGGTCTCCGTGCTCGGAACCCCGTGACTTCGCTGCAGCTGGAGCCGAATCTGGGTAATGGCTTGTGAGTACTCGGTCCGCGCCATGATCTCCAGCTGTGGGACAGGCTGCTGCTGTTGACGCGAATGATGGGCCAGAGCCAGGGCACGGATCGCCTGGCGGGTGGGGGAGGACGGAACTCTGACTGATTGGCGGTAGAGTGTGGGTAGCATCTGGAAGAATTCGATCCAGGGGTTGGAGATCTTGGCGCTGCAGTCGAAATCTCGATAGAATGCCGCTATTACCCGGTCGTGGAGATCCACCAGTATGCGGCTGGGGGCGCTGGGTTCACGCAGCAGTCTTGCCGCGTGGGTACGCGTTCGCCAGAGAGCAGCAGTGCGGGCCGCTGCTTTGCTGTTCTCATCGCGAAAATCGAGCTCCAGGGCATCAGGATAGCTACACTCCGTGCCCCGACGGACGCAGCGACTACACTGCGGCTGCCCTTCATTGCACTTGATTATTCTCATCAGTGTCTCCATTCCCGAGGATCACGAATCGGGGATCATAGAGAAAGCAGTAATCCTACCTTCACCTTCGAGCGACGACACATGAGACAGCCTTTGCTCCGAGGGCTGCGCGTCGTGACACCTGTCTTCGTCTTGTTCTGCATTTTGGCCGGATGAAAACCTTCTTATACAATTTGTGGTAACGACCGCCGACAGACTTGACCCTAACCCGACTGACCTGGGCACATGGCCAAGGCAGGGGCAGGGGTTTTATGGTTCATAATCTGCACGTCCGCGCCGCCCCGCTGTGGAGAACAGAACGTGGTCTGGCGTGTTTGATGGCCTCAACGTTCCTCAGGAAAGGCTGTCGGCCGAATTCCAGGCCAATAGCAAGGCTTGCGGATATTGCCGTCGCGTCCCCTTCCGCAAATTGTCTAGTGGCAGGTCATCGAAGCCGCAGACTGTGGGTCTAAATGGATAGGGGAAGACTTGGCCATGCTTAACTTCTCGTGTGCTTGGAGCCGCTACCGGCGATAAGCCAATACACCCGAATTCTCCGCCCACCATGACTCAATTCTTAAGTTGTCGCTGCTCTAGTATTAGTCAAGACTGAGATGGCGTGTACAACGAACGGAAATTGCCCGCGGTTTCTTACTAAACATCAAAACTCAATTGGGTAACCACCACCTTGGGCCATCATCTCTCGCTCCTTTTAACATCTTGCGGAAGGCATGCAGTAACCGTTCTCAGTACAAGTGGAAGTTTGAGGTGGTTGACGCATTAGGAGAAGGAGGTGAACAGTGTCCGAGGTGAAAGATACAGTGCGTGCACAGACAACAAACTAACCACAACAAAAAACACAATATACGCGACATACCCAGCCTGCCCGCCCCAGTGTCACCTCATCTACACGTTAGACTATCAGGCATATATTCAGAGTAAACTTTGCTGTACATGTCTGTACATGTATACTAAGATCAAAGAAGGAAGTATAACGAAGTTGCCCAGTGGCCGCGATCGCATGGTAGGAGGTACTTATACTGTACTGTACTGTACCAATACGGAGTAAGTTACAACCCACCCTAGATAACGGATAAACGGCCGGACCGGTATTTTGGCAACAAAAGGGTCCGGGGTCTTTTCCGACTGGCTTTCAGAGTTCCAAATTCCTGCGCTACTTCAGCAACATTGAACGGCTCGATGGGGCGATAGCTGATATACTATTTATTATATTCACTTCCTGGTCGCTCTCCACTGCTGGCAAACTCCATGTAAAACCACCCCTACCAACTACACAAGAGCTGCCTTCACAGCCCACCCCTACCATGTCGGTCACTATCGACTCAAGAGTCATCAACACCGATGATTTCTTTCCCAGCATCTTACAATCCCATGAAAAGGGTCCAAGATCACTATTCATTCTCTCATCTTAGATGCCCACTACTGACGACAACATAGAGAAACTCACCCCTTGGGTTTTCGAACATGCCGAGTCTGCCGATCTCTTCTGTGTTGATCGCTGGCCCGAAGAAGAGTCGAAGGATTATCGAGATATCTTTCACCTCACCAACTCGTATGTCTCCGAAACCAACCTCCTCGACGCCTCCCTCGCCGAGCCCCACCCCCTTCAAGCCTACTATCCCGAAAGCCAACCCTATGATCCTGATCGCATCGAGCCGGGCATTCTGGAAGATGCGGTTGGGAGAGAGGAGCTTGTAACTCTTCCGCGAAAGAGCTGGGAGTATTCTACGCGAGAGGAGTTTGCCCATCTGATGACCCTACAGGCCCTCGTGTTGAGAGGGCTGATGGAGAGTCTTTATCAGAAAATGGGCTTGAGAGGTTCTGAACCTCGACTCTAGTAAGTTAGTAAGTTTCAAACTGCTCCGGGGAAAACGGCGTTGGACTAAAGCACAGAAGCTTTCCTGTAGCTAACCACAGGCAATCATATCATCTCGGCGGTCAAAAGTATGCAGCCAGGCCTGATGGCGCTGTTACTATCCGTACTCAGAGACGGGACCTTCCCATTCTGTCTTTCACGAGCGTATGTCGACTCCTCCTCAAGCAGAGCCTTCACTACGCTTTCTAAATTTGATCTAGTGGTTTGAAGATCAGACGTGGGGCTAGTTTCTTGGAGAGACTCTGAGTATCATGCTAGGCCAGCTTGCATGCAATGTTGAACTAGGCCTACGCGATTAGGAGATGTTTGTTCTTGGTTTCTACAAAAGGCAAATCTTCATTGCTCGTGGGTTCTTTATAAAAGATCATATATCGCGGGTTCATTCAAAGGGGTGCTCGGCTGATGAAACCTTCACTATAGCTTTTACACGAGGCTATGACCTGTCCTCCAAGATGGATCGGGATGAGGCTGTAGAGAAACTGGTAGGGTTGCTACGATATTTTCTCGGTGGGACTGCACAAATAGGTGGCTTACAGGCCTTTTTTGACAAATGATGATGATCCAATCAAGTTCTGGTGGCTAATATGCTTTCTGTAAATTTGTCTATACTCCCCGTGGCCGGAGGAGCTCACTCTTGCCACTGTTCTTGAGGAAGCTATGAGTTGAGGCTGCAATAAGACGTGTGTACTCCGTACATACATTTGGGAACTGGACGTCTAGTCACCAGTCGGGCGGGAATCCCCGCCCTGTATATCTACTAGTTTCGTCTCTTACGCCACTTATCCCCCACAATTCAGAGGTGGCCTCTGAAGATAAGATCCTATGGTAATTACACATCAATCTGGATCTCACTAGGTTTGTTTGTCTTGGAGAGGTTTCTTTATCATGATCAGGAGGGACCCATCGTGAGGTCGAGACCAGATCTAATCGTTTGACTGATCGAATAGCTTCCATGCAAGGGGGTTGTTTGACAATTATTGTGACGAGAATCGACAGTACGGCAACCCGCGCAGCCTTTAATGTTGAAGAACTTCAAGTATGCCACTGACGATGCATGTACGATGTATCTTGTTCTCATCCCGTTGTCCGCTTAGAGCCGCTATCTGCTCCGAAGGGTGGAGTTGGGTTGGGTTGAGTAGGAACCTGTCGAGAATTCAACTACTCCACGAACAGGTCTGCGGTCTCTAATTAATGGCCCCCAGACTAATCGGGTCATGCTACCCAGGGACATCATGGGAATCCATTTTATTTATCCTAGCACAGTCCTGCAAGGGTTAAGCTTTGTTGTGCCGCAATGCAATCTTTGGAACCTGGTAAGCCGCTCATAGATAAGGTAGGTAGCAGCCAATCAATCTCCTTCGATTAGAGCTTCGACCTCTTGTTCTTGCTGAATTCTGTGTATAAGCCTACTAAGATGATGCTAGCAGGTGGGCTCGCCCTTGATGGAACCGCCGTCTGTCAATCATCGGCTCCGACAAGCAAAGCCATATCTCGGAATATATATTCCGGTCTGAGTCTCAATGATAAGGACTGGTTTATCGGTGGCACCACGGCCCTCCATTCTTCAATTCTGGGGTCCCCGGTCCCCGTGCTTTATGGACGGTTCTTGCGACTGTGTGTATTTGCGAAGGCAAGCTAATCATGCGAAGTTGCACAAACTCGGCTTGCTAGGTATCTTTAAATCCCAGAGCCTTCCTTACCTTCACATGGACCGCGTCGATCCAAAACTACTCCAATATTAGACAATATATATATTTCTCTCTCGCAAAGAACCCTAGTGACTGATTGGCCCTAAAAATGCCCTCGGATAAAAAGAGTACTTGTAAATCCGCCTAGAAAACTTAGTTGAACAACCTTTTCCTACGCAAAGGAGCGGGAAAGGTGGCCCTTTCGAGAGACAGTTGCGTGGCCTTAGTATGAATCCCGGGTGGCTAGGAGGGTGCCTCTCCCGGTGCTTAGAGGTGGTTGGCAAGTAGTAGGCTATACTGCCGGCATTTAGGGGTATTGCAGATTGGTATGATTCGGATGATGTATCCTAGTCGAGGCAGGCCTTGGTTCGATCTAACCATCTCGTCACAACACCAGATCTGGCCTTCCGAATGTTGGTGCATGCGCCACATAGCCCTAGAGCCAGGAAGATGTATTCCGCAATGCTCAGTCGATGGATCTTATCTGGCTTTACATCTTATCAACCATGGTACTGGGCCCAATGAGAGCCATCAGCTCGCATAGTTGAAGATACCGAAGATTCGATCTTATCAGTACCAGGATAGGTTGCTCTATAGAACGAAGAACGAAGCCTTTTGACCGGAAGTAAGAGGAAGGAACGCCCTTATAATCTGGTCCATCGCTCCTAGACAATAGCATGTGAAATTGGTATCGATTCCTCATCCACCAAACGAGCTTTGGTAGGCTGACAAGTGCTCGAATCTCATTTGCATCGACTATCCGTATCCTATTCCTGGGCATGATGGGGCCTCGATTTCGACGCTTTCTAACATTATCCATCCTGATGGCCGGGGGTTTGTTGACACTCCCTCATTTCCCACCCCAAGGACTGCAGAGTTTAATTCTAACATTGTCACGTTTTGCATTCATAGCCAGCATCGTTGGATATGACTCGGGGATATCTGAACGGGGTCCTCGCATCGCCCGATTTCATCAAGCGATATGGAGTGACGGTGGACGGTTCCACCTATTTGACCGCGAGAACTCGCAGCTTGTTCACTTCGTTCCAGGTCGTGGGGACGTTGATAGGGTGTCTCATTTGCGATCCCATCATAAATTGGTGTAAGGATCTCAATCTCAACGCGTACCAATCATCTAGGCGATCCTGCCTCTAACCATACTCGATAGGGGCAATCGGGGCAGCATGGGAGCTGGCTCCGCTGTTTATGCGCTAGGAGTCGCCTTGCAGGCCGCAGGCCTCCCCGCACCGGTCTTCATTGTCGGCCGCGTCTGCATGGGCATGGCGCTGGCACTCGCCTCGAGTATTGTAGGTGCCCGCCTGCACGATCCGCGCCCCATTCTGTATCGCTCATGCTCCCCTCCCCGGCGCAGATCCCACAGTATCTGGTTGAGGTCTCCTCCGGCACGAACCGAGGACGGATGTTTGCCTTCTACCTCATATTTTTGACCTCGGGCAACGTCTTGGCCTGCGGGATTAGTATGGGGACCTCGCACTTTACCGACTCCCGAGGATGGCGTGCGTATAGCCTCCCTACCCCTGTCTCCCTTGCATTGACCTCGGGCTGATCACGGGGCCCTCCCAACAGGGATCACCATCTGTATGCAGCTGCTCATAGCCGCCTGCATCGGGCTGGGCGCGCTCATCTGCCCAGAAGCGCCCACCCTCCTCCTCCGCCGTAACGACCTTGTTGGGGCGCGGCGTGCGCTCGCAATCTTACAGGCGCGGTCGGCCGACTCGCCCGAGATCGGTGACGCAGTGACTACGATGCAGGCGACGCTGGCGACGACGAGCGGGCAAGTGGATGAGCTGTCTACGCTGCAGCGGTTCCGCGAGTGTTTCCGGGGCACAGATCGGCGGCGGACGCTGCTGGGGATTGGCACGGCGGGGCTGACGATCCTCACGGGGACGAATTTCTGGTTCAACTACGGAACCACCTTCTTCGAGGTGGCCGGGGTGACCAACTCGTACTTGATCTCGCTGGTGCTGGCACTGATCAACTTTGTCTGCTCCGCGCCGGCGACCTACCTCATGGAGCGGGCCGGCCGCCGCTTGTGTCTGATGGTGGGCGCCGCCGGGATCGCCCTCACCCAGCTGCTCAGCGGCATCATCCATGACGTTGCCCCGAACACTGTGCATGATAAGCATATGCTGGTCGCTGGCTCGATTCTCTTCATCGCCATCTTCGCGCCAACGTGGGGTGTGGGAGGTAAGTCAAGGCGTCTCCGTCCCTTTTTCCCCTTATCACCCTCCACCCGCTGATGGAAGGTGCATCACGCTGACCACGTGGCAAATAATAGGATGGGTCGTCATGACCGAAGCCTTCTCAGTCCGCCTCCGCCTGGAGCAGACCGCGATCACGATGATCGTTTACTGGGTCGCCACCTGGTTCATCGGCTTCATTGTCCCCTACCTGGTCGACGCCACCGAGGCCAACCTTGGCGCCAACGTCTGCTACCTCTGGGCCGCCACCTGCACCGCGTGTTTTCTGTGGACCTACTTCTTTGTGCCGGAGCTGGCGGGGCTCTCGGTGTCTGATGTGAGATACCCTCCTCTTCACTGGTTGTATCCTAGTAAGATGACCGATGCTGACATTCGCACTTCTGCTTCTAGATGGATGCACTCTTCCACGAGAAGGTCCCGGCTTGGAAGTCGATGCAGTGGGCTCGACGGCGGCGGCTCCAGGTTCTCGACGGCGCAACGCCGGCTGCAGAGGGGGAGGAACAAACCTCCTCCGGGCTGGATGAGGAAGGCCTTTCTGAAAAGACGGGCCGGGTGGAAGTGAAGGTGTTGGGTTGAGTTCTGATCTCAATGGGGGCGGCGATTGGGATGCCGCGATTAGGGCATGATCGGATATGGTTGCGGTCACGGGTTACTGGATATACGCAGAGAGAGACTACTAAGACTAGATGAAATAGGCTCTTTCGGTTCGAGATTTAGCCATCTGGGCCCATGTGGGAACCTAGAAATACTCAGGCTTAAAATGCCATTGCCGTATGACAACATACACTCGTGATAACTCTTGTTTCCTTGCTTGTTATGTTCCACTGCTAAGTAAACCAACCCGTGACCGATGGGCGAGAGCTGAAGATACTTCGATTGTTGTAGCCACGGGATTGCTCTCAGCGCGATTGGACCAAGTGATATTTTGAGATCTACCTACCTTTTAATGTCGAAAGACCTGTTGAATAAGGAAGAAAGAAATGCACGGGGAAGGTAGGTTATAACAAGGACCTTCCCAAGCGAGCACTTTAGCCCGCTCTCTACTGCAAACCTTTGATGAACACCAATCATCTGTCAATCCGAGGACAGCAGTGCGATTAATCCACTGCAGAGGAAGAAGCAGGCTCAATACACTATCAGAACAACAACAGCGGTCATTCGCCTTTAGACTTGGATTTTCAGACAACTGCACCATGGCCCGGACGTTTCCATCTGATCTCGGTTGCCAGAACCACTAAAGAAACACAATTCTTTGTCATCTACTTGCGCCCTGGCTCTAAGCAGTTACACTGCTTCTCGCTGTACCTGGAACACTACCCTTTCATTGTCGAGCGACGAAACCTGTCGTATAGAAAGCGGAACTAAGCAGGAAGAGAAAAGCTTTTCCCACTCTTCCATTGTCCGGAACGGACGTCCAAAAGCCGCAATCAAGTGCAAGTTGAGGATATTTGCGTTGGAATAGAGCGTGCCATGCTTTCCCGGATCCACGAAGTCGTCGACCAACAAGACTGATTTGCTCGGTGTCATAGCTTCCGCAATATGCTGGATGATCTTCCGGCAATCACTAAGATCCGTCAGCACAAATGATGTTCCACGTGCAGAACACAGCGAATCGTCTGACGGACCTATCTGTGTGATCCATAAGGATGTGGCTGAGTAAATAGAGACTAGCTCCTCTGACCGGTTGTTTCTCAAAGAAGTCATGCTGCTGCCAGGTAACTCTCGACATTGCTTCTGCGATTGCTGGCTCCTCTCTTATTGTTGGCTTCTTACACATGAAGTCTTGGACAGTGAACGAGCTCTGCGGAAACTGCATCGCAAGGCGGAGAGAATGGTGACCTCTACCACCTCCAACATCTACCAGAGTAGCGCCGGGACGTAAGACGTCGAAATTGAAAATGTCTTCAATGGGAGCCTGCGTGGACCGGTGGAAATACCTCTCCATTGCGCTGTCGAAACGCCGGCCTCGCTCCTTGTCTGTAGAGTGGTAGTACTGATAAAAGGTCTCGGACGCTGGAAGTGTCAGTTTACCCGTTAATCCTTCGGGGGTCTAACGCATACTCTGAAAGGCCATTTCAAATGCCGTTTTGTGCTTCCCATCCGGAATTTTGAAAGAGTTGTTTTGGGCGTAAACAGAGAGATAAGATCCCATTTTCAGGCCATCGTCGACACTGACTCCTCGTCAATATCATGCCCCAAACGAAGCACTAGGCTCTTACAGGTAGTGGATCCACGAGCGAAAATTCTCATTCAACAAGCATGTTGAGTTGGCATTCAAAGCATATGTCTCCTTCGAAGGCTCGTCGAAGATCCGGTTCTCAACGCACAGTGTCATGACACATCCTGTTCCGCATCAGCTTTCTGTTACATCCATGTATTGGACTTCCTTACGCAGTAGCGATGGTGCAGCTCCCGTCGCTTCTATCAAAGCGTCGAGAGAAGCTGAGCGATTCTGTGAAAGCAACCTTGGGATTCCGAGATCAAGCGCCAAACAGATGGCAGCGCTGTTATTGTATGACCCCGCCACTGTGTTCACCCAATTCTCAGGTGCAGCCACCAACGCACCGAGTTCCCTACAAGCCGCTGAGATCACTGATGATTCATGCTCAGTACTCGCACCCAAGCCTAGTTTCTGGTTGTAGGACTCAGAGTAACTGGATATAAGTTCTGCGAGGTTTTTCACGGTGTTGGCGTTATCCGACATGTCGAGGTTGCCTCACTTCTACTGGCTGTCATATAATTGAGAGAAGAGGAGGACAGGGAAGCAAATTATTCCATAGACCAGTTCGAACTCGACATATTATACATCAAGGAGCTATGCGTATTATGCATTATGTCCGCCAGATCCCGTCATTAGATGACTATACAGGTCATTGAGACGCTAAGGATACAATAGCACAGATGCCGAAGTTAGTTGGTAAAGGGATCGACGCCAAATACCGGATTTTTCCGACTGTCACAGCTAGTGAAAATCCACTCTGTGTCATCTTTAATCGTAGATGCTTCGACATATTCTGCAAGAAGATGACCACGTAGCCGATCCACTTGCATTAGATTGTGAACCAGAGAGAAGCTGAACGTACCAGCCTTCTGGGCTGAGCTTGAAGTCAACGTTGATCAGACCGGCGTTTAAAACCGCGACATCAGCATGCCCTGCGCAATTCGCTGTCTGCTGCCCCTGTAATGAGGACGGTTCTGGTCCTGGAATGAGTCTGGGGAGGGAGGGGCTCGCCCCAGAGCTTATCGCGTATGCGCCGGGGTCGGAGGAATACCATGATTCGAGGAGGCATGGGCAAAGAAGTGTGCTTCGTTGATTGACCGCAACGAAGTAGGTACTGTACACAGCCTTGAGACTGTACATCTTCTCGGCTAGAGATGGTGGCCGGCTTTGGGTTGTCTGGGTGTCCTGACAACAATTGTATTCTATTGTATTCTATTGTATATGAGTGTATATTAGTGTACGAAGTATAGATGGGGAATGCGGGAACCCCACCTGTGTGGCAACCGGCGGAGAACCAACCATTGTCCATTGACCGGGGACGGATCAATCATCCGGAGGTAAATCTACCGCTC